ATAAATGTAATTCTGTTGTAATCATATGTTCCAATGTATTTGAACACCTGTAGCATTACATACAGGGGATCTTAGTGGTCTTTCTAAATGACATTGTACACTAAGTCTTCTAAAGACTAACATTTCGATAATAAACTAACAGTCGAGTTTAAATGATTCAAGAGAGCATTACTTTTCAGTTTTAAGTACTACATGACTTACTTGGCACCATTCTACATTACAACTTTGGTGCAGTGATTCTTACTTTCTACTATACAGTCATTATTTGTTGTATATTTTAGTGTGTTGTTCAAGTGAACAGAGAAATGTTAGCAACAACAGGAGTTACAAATGTTAATACCTGTAGTAGCATGCATATAATACATGTTTCTCTGAAAGATAATCAACACAGGGACAACCTAGACCACTGAACATACATGTATCTCCACATACAATGGTGGCTTCACATGATTATTGTTTCAAAGTCAAAGGTCTCCAGCTAATGTCCAAATGTAAAGGTCAACAGTAATGACTCAGCAGGAAATGCATGAATATCCTGTGATTGTCACCTACAGTATAGTAAATAAACCACACACAAATGCCCATGTTCCTTTAGTTACTACTACATACTGGACCAGGTTCAACTTGGTAAAAGCAATAAAAGCAACATACAGTGTAGTCCAGGAAATACTGTTCTACAACAAAAATAGTGGTCCCTTGCTTTCTGGTACAAAACTGTCCTGAAACAAAATAAATGCATTTTATTGCAACAAAAATGAGTCTTGTTAACACATTACCAAGTACATGTAATATGTCCTCACATCAAGAACAGGCTATGTTCTTAGTGATAGACGATAGATATATACTGCTGCATGTACAATACTGCTACAATAGGAATTTCACATTGGGATGATGTACAAGCATGGCAAGATGTCATGTTGTTCTGTTCTTGGCTAACAGCCTATTTTGTTAAGGTAAGACTTAATCTTCTTAGATAGAGTTAAACCAGGCAGTCGTCATTCTTAAAAGACCAGGCTAACCAAAAAATTTTACATACCAGAGGAGGCATAATAAATTTCCTTTATCACCAATGTCTTTATCACCTACAGTAGGTTGCCCTAATACCATGGCCTGGAATCCATCCTGTTCTAGCTCCAGTTTGCTCCTCTTATAGCATCAATTCAGAATATTCAGCAAGGAAAGAGATTGGTGTCAGCATAGGCTGCTTCATGTAATGCCATTCTTATATTCCCAACACCCCCACACACCACCTATGCTGACATGTTCCCTTAATCAATGTGCTGATGAGCTGCAGCCCTTTCTTTAGCAGCGGCCCTCTCCCTCTCCTTTCCACGCTTTACCGCAGCCTTTCTGCGTCTCTGTCGCACCATGTACTTCAGCAGCATGGTACCACCTGCAGGGTAGAGAACAGGCATTCTGGTCAAGGTGCACCCATGTATTGATTAGAATACATTGGCATGATACAATAAAACATAATTATATATATCATGGTAGAGATTGCAATCTGTAAATCTAAAGATATTCCCATAAAAGACAGAATGAGTTGTGCCACTTTTGATCAATGGAGTGACTAATTTAGGATTACTACCATCCTGATTGGAGTCTCTGTCTACAAAGTTCCACTCAGATACATGTACACAGCCCTATCACTATTAGATGCCATAATGTCACAAACCTGCAGCCAGCATCATGAGATACAGCTTCATCAGGAGGGGATAGTGCATTCTGATATTGCCCCACTGGTAGCTGAACTTGTTGGAGCGCTCGTAATACGGCACAGCCGTGAAGATACAGTAGGCTGTGGATGCAACAGTAAGGGTTTGTACAAGTATGATATGAGAACAGGGCTTGAAATACTACCTATATGTAAGTTACTTCCACATGATAGGCACCTTGGGGATACAGACAGGAAGTTAGTTCAAAGAATTTATTTCATTTCCTGTCTTAAATTTCATTCAAAATGCATGTCTGTTGCCTTATGGAAGCCAGTGGGAAAAAGCATAAACAGAATCAGCAAGATATTCACAATAATTCAATAAATGAACAAAACAAGAAATTTACAAAAACTCATATTTTTATTCATATTTCATATAGGTTTTTGATATGTGGTTGTGGTACTGGATGACAAGTTCACTCACCTTCCAGTAGAAAGCCGAGTGGATACAGTGGGATCCATATGGAATAACGCAGCCACTGGGTCACCTTGAAGAGCTTGGCAGGGAGGTTTTCCTTACCGATGAGTGTTAACAGGTAAAACGGGTACCTAAACCGGAAGATGTACCTAAAAATATGAATAACCCGGCAAAAACATCTGGTTACACCTTAAACCTGCAACACCTGGATCCTGCTGGAAATGATGAAATGGACAAATGAAAAAGGAGGGGAAACTGATAGCTGTTCTGCATGACGAACTTGGACTGTGAAAAATTGTGTTGATCTCCAATAGCATGAACTGAAAAGCAACAAAAATAAAGAGGAATGAGACTAATAAATGAGAAAACCTGAAGCCAACAATGCTGAAGGTGCCAGACTGGCTTCAGAACATACCAAAGAAGGTTTCAACAGAAACGACCAGCATTTGCACATGAACACTCAATACATAATCAAAAACATGAAAAACATCTTAATGTATGTATGCGTTGTATATGTGTATTGCAAAATAATAAAAACATTTCTTTTGAATAGTTGAAAAGCCTCAGAGACAACATTTTTCTGGTGTGTTTCATTTCATTTTCTACATTGCTTAATTGTAATAACAAGGTAATAACAAAAGATGGAGACATCTGAATAGCTATGTGTAGGACACAATAACACAGTAACACTAGCCTTACCTGACCACCTCTATACAGCTCCATGTGGTGAAAAGGTAGGTGACTACAGGTAAGGGGTACATCAGCTCCTCAGGGTAGATCACCAGGAACAGGATGAAGTTACGACCAAGAGTCTACAGTAAAACAAAGATTTCCAGTTACAGAGACCTCCAGTATTGGGAACTACAGCTACATGTACTACTGCTCGACTTGTCTAAATAGTTAGTGTAACATATAAAAGGGCTGACCACCAACCTGTATGAGAGGGAAGAGGGGCTTGGAGTTGACCAGCCCCACCTCTGCATGGATGTACTCCAGGAAGGACATCAGCTGACAGGTCATCATCATCTGACCAGTAAACTCCCAGGTGTGCTGGAATGAGTCTGAAGACAGGGGAATGAGAGACATTTAGTCATTGTTACAGCAGCAAACACTTGTTGAATGTGTAAAATATGTTGTAGCCACACACAACCTTCTCCCTAACCCCATAACCAACACAAATTTGGTGCCGCATGGCTACCTTTGCAGGGTAAAGGTTAATGCAGTCTGTACTTTTAACTGTACAAAACTATGTGCTATGACTATGTGCATACAAAACAGAACAGGAACTGACCTCTGTGGTGCATCATGTAGCGAATGACACAGCTGACAAAGATGAAGGAATACCCCATGAACTGGAAAAAGTTGTAGGCAAACAGCCACCAGGTCTTCAGATACTTGATGGCTGTGAAGGGACATGAGTATGCAGTGTTTTCAATACAATACCAACAACATAGATGTCTTTCGTAAACTGGACATGAACAGGTATCTTACAAAAGGCATGAATGTAGCACAGATGACATCAAATGATAAGTGCACCATGTACTTAATTTGCACGTACATGGAGTCAGTTACATGATCAACCAATGGTCTCCTCTTTTTCTTCTTTCCTGTACTTTTCTTTCCTTACATTTGGCAACTCTTACTGGTACATGTGACACTGGTCACCTGTAATCTTTTACAAATGGTATTAAAGGATTAGAGGTAGAGTACAGGTCAGTATGAATTATGATCATGATCGTCCCACCTGCCCGACTCTCCATCTCTTCCTTCATCTCCTCCTCAAATTTCTTCAGTGACTCTTGTCGGTACTCTTCAAGCTGAGAACAAAAATACAAGTCATGAAAGGATTACAACAATGACTTGATTCAAGAAGATGCAGAAAATCTGTCCAAACTGCAAGTAGAAATTCTTTTTTTTTATTCATTTACTTCATGTTCAGCACAAAACAAGGCTCATGGGAGCCACTAAAATGTTTTGGGTTACTGTACAGACAGTGAGGACAGGCCTTTGTTGACCTTCTGACATGTTTGGTTGATGCAGGTAACAGAAATGTGTAAGACTGACCCGTCTGGCTTTTTCTTCCTCAGCTTCAGACTCAGAGTCGCCCTCGTCTCTCCACTTGTCGAAGTCGACCTTGAGGAAGCCGGGTCTCTTCTCCTGCTCAACAAGACGGCTCCACCACTGTTTGTCCTGCTTCATCAGCATAAACTCCACTCCCTGGGGCGTGGTTCTGTACATGCTTTTCTACAGAAGAGATGGAATATAAAAAAATGCTGTAAATCTTGCAGTGGTTTTACTTTCAGGGCTCTTGCAGTGACCAACATGAAATTACATGAATTTAGAGTAATTCGACCCAGCACTTCAGAGACTGATGTTACATGATACTAAGAAAAATATTCTTGTACTTAAATAAAGTATTGAATGTTTCACGTGGTATTGATTTTAGTTGCATATACATGTAGATAACTTCACATTTTGTGCTTGGTATTATGCAAACAGCTTTTTAGTAACACATTGTACTACATGTAGCTACTAGTGAAATTTGACACAAACACATAACAGTTGTTTACTGACCTCAGGATCAACTTGCTTGAAGAAATCCATTTGAAAGCCATATTCATTTTGTCCTTTGGCACCAAAACCATATGCTAAACAAAAACAGTGACATGAAAACATGATCTTTATTAGAGCTCTAGCAGTGAATGATAAAGTTATAATCACTGATCACCAATCACTGATCAAATCTCTTGTGTACAAAATTTGTTTTTATCAAGGACATTATACAGAAGTATAATGTCCTTGTTACTATCTAACCGGTATCTGTTCAGTGTAATTGCTGTGAGATTGACAACAACTGCAATTCATTCCAAAGTTGCTAGGTGTCCTTACATTGTCAAAGACCCTTGTGCTTGATAGCTTGTGTACATGTACACATACAAACTAAGATTCTGTCTACAGCTGCTGATTTCGTGTAAGCTTATAAGTTATATGTAAAAAGTAGAAAGACAGGAAGTTTCTTCAACCTTTGGTACCAAAAGATAAACATGTGGGTCATATCCAAATTTGACTATTGCACAGGTGATCTTTTTTTTTATAAAAAATTAACGCAAGAACCAGCAAATGAATTTGGGGTAGCCAGAGTCATAATAAAACCTACTGAAGGTAGCAGCCTGAGACATACCTCTAAAGGTCAGACCATACTCGTCCAGCTGCACATTTGGGTCCTAGCGATAAGAAAATAGATTTCAGTTAGCCTTATTTGAAACAGCAACGTTTATTTAGAGCGACACATGGAGCAATGTGAGCAAAACAACATCCAACAAAAACACCATTAAAATATTGTGGAAGTTCATCAGTTCACACGCATGTACAAAAACATACATGTAGTTTAAACAAAAGAAACAGTAATCTAAAATAGCAGGAAACATACAATTTTGTTTACCCTATTTTGCTCTTAAAATAGCATTATGTTTTAGTGACGTCTTAAGTAAAAAAAATAGTACATGTTACATTTTGTATATGACAAAAGATGGTGGAAGTCATTTTCAAAGTGTTACACAATAGCATAATATATGGTGGTAATTCAAATGAAATTCATGGGGGAATGTGTCTTTGTTCATCTGCTATCTTGTCCTATCTTGGCCAGTATTTTATGGTACAGCCATCAGTTTCCAGTTACATCATGTATATGGTTGTCAAAGAGGGATAATCAAGAGGTGTACTTAAAAGGTAAAGGTAAGCTGTAAAGATAAGTTCCAAAATTAGTACAATTGCACTTAGAATAAAAATTTCCTCTAGTCTGGAACCATTGTTAACCCCTGCTTACCGACCTCCCTTCTATATCAGGTTTACACATGTAGGTCCCATGCTGCTACCCTGCATTCATGTATAGAAAGCCAGGGGATAGAAACATCCCAAGAATGGAGGACAGTGTGTGATTGACCAAATACAGGTAATCCTGGGGCTTATTACCACCTCCTAACTCAACACTGCCAATTGATGCAGGAACTACGTCAGTCCCTGGGTACCACCCTTGTAATCTGCCCATTTGTGAGTCACAGATAGACACCACTTAACTGTTATATGGCTAGTTCAGATGAGTTCATTGGTACTAGTACATGACTATTATTAGTCTACAGATAAAATATCACATTCTCCATTTTTTAACAAGACTTAGTGGAATTATGAATGTTGTCATCCATTCATTCATAATTTCATTCAATCAATGCAATTTCATTTTATAGATTCTACACAAAGAATTGAGAAGTTTACTCTTGAAAAATATGTCAATCTAACTTGGTTTCTAACTTAGTTCTGAACAAATTTCCTATGACATGTGAATGTGATTACTAGTATTATGTAATATAGCATGGCAAAGGAAGTCTTTAGTCGTTAATGTAAGAACCACAAAACCAGCAGCAAACCCTCATGCCCTGCTTGTACAAATATAGGTCAATGTTTACGATGCTTTAAGGTCTTCATCATACACACCCACAGCTAGTCAGCCTTCTCCCTGCATATGTTGCTGCTCTGAAATAATCATGGGGAGATTTTAAAGGGACAGCTCCCTTCCAAAAAGGGCAGGAACCTTTGACATCCCTCTGGCATCAAATATCTGGGGGATCAGGTTACCCAGGAATGGCAGCCATGCTTCAGCACTAGGACACCCTACAGCTTCGTGTCACATAATCTTGTCTCCTATAGATATTGCTGAGTCTTCGTACTATTTTCACCGCGAGGAGAAAGAGAGCGGATCGTAAAAATTACGTCAAAACTCAGGTAAGTTCTGACAGGAAAAGGGGGAAACTGTGAGGTGGGGAGGGGTGGAACACATGTGGATGAGGGGGTCCTATCCTCTGTCTAAAATTATACTGGAATGGGGAAGGCCACTCGGCAAGGTCATTTGTTGGGGCCAGTTGCCTGGCATATCAAAGCTCTGGTCATGGAGGAGACTGTATCACATGACCCTTTGTAGTAGACGTTTGATTTCCTGTTACCTGCTTGGTACCTGGACAGTACATTTAGCTCAAAAACATGATGTAACATTTGATATTTATAGCTCAGTGCCTTTTATGCCAGGCACAGGCCATTCCAAGCTACATACGGGCTAGGAGCAGGTTGGGTGTTTTTTGTTGTCATGGGATATAAGTTGTATATTTGGTTTTATAGCTTTACAGTTATAGGACAGTACATAAATCTGAAGATAGATCTTGTCTAGAGTCCAAATCTCAAACCAGATTTTAAAAAAAAATTACAGCTGAGAATTTCTTGGTAGTGCCATGTCTTAGCCTTAATACTAAAGCAAAGGTGGCTGATTTTATTACTATATACAATATGAAAAAGTCAGGGGTCACCATTTGCAAAGTAATAATTAAACTAAAAATTAAGTTATAAAGGTCATTCTGTGGAAAGCTTCAGTCTTATGAAAAAAATAGCTTGCTGGTGGGATGTTTTGATTTGTGCTCTGTTTACAATAGCCAAACTACAAAAGGAAAAACCAAGGACAATATTAGTTTTTTATACAGATAAACTGTATAGATATACTGTATAATGTCCTTGGTAAAACATACTCTCTCAAGCAACTTTTCAAAATTTAGCTGGGGTCCTAATATTGATAAAAATTGTTTTTCATCCTTCTAAAAGGATCAACAAGTCTTTTCTTTGGGAAGTGGTCCAAAATCAATGTCATTCAAGACATTAAGTGTGTGTGTGGTGTGTGTGTGTGTGTGTGTGTGTGTATGTGAAGTTGCCTAACTAAAACCATTTTTATTTCGATTATTTGTAAAGAGTAATGTTTTGTGTTGCTTAAATAGATTATCTAACCTATCAACATATAAATTTTGTCCAACAAATTAGACTGCTACATAATCATAAAGCAAAAATAAGTTTTACAATGCCAAAACATGACAAGTAAAATTTGTATATCAATAACATTGAAACAATGAACATATTAAACCGGCAATAGCATGTGTATGGCTAAATCAAGGAGGTTGTATGGGGATCTGTTATGTCTGAAAAAATATCAGTTTTAGCAAAATGTACTTGGATATAGAATGTGTATTATATAATAATATAATGCTAGAATGCTACATTGTGTGCAATGAAATGATTATTGACACTTACAACAAACCAAATGTATCAATGAAAAGGGATCCTTATTTCCCATATACTTGCCAGACAGGTTTTGAACATGGGACAGGCTTTACAAAAAATGTGATTATGTTATCAAATTTTCTTATATTATATATATACTTGAGTAGGGTAGTTAGACGACTTCCATGTTACTGAAAATGCATTGGGCAAAATATATGCCTATTCAAAATTATATGAGAGACCGCTGTTTTTGTTTACATTATCTAACGTTAAATGCAAATTATTTGAAGACATATGCAAATTTTGGTATGAAAAGCAACCGTCACTCGCTCTTTGCCTACCTCTCGCTGGACGTGACGTCATGCCGATCACTTGTATGAGGTTCTTATCATATATTTTCATAGTGAAAAGCTACATCTATCCTGATACAATTTTGAAATCCTTTTTATTGCGTGCTAAATATTTAATTGTAGACATCATATTTTCCAGAAGATTCGTATTGACATAATTAAACGTATTTGTTTCGTCATGAAGCTGGCATCAGTAATAATATTTAAGATTTACAGCAATTAACTGGGTAGCCATAAATTCCCCCGAGAACGCTTAATCTGCATTGAACAGGTGGAAGCTTCGAGAGACATATTAGGCCATGCTGGACGTCAAATATGGAGAAAACCAAAACCGAAACACTTCCTTGTTTTCTGAAACGAGGAACAATCGCCAACAATACTTACGAAATAGAGAAAAGGAATACATAAAATTTAGGTACCCCTGTCCTCTATCATATCACCTTCTTATTGCACTCACCGAAACGTCTCTCAAATCCACCTTGAGGGACAATTTGTCCTTTCTTTGTGCCCAATAAACGAAAGGAGTGTAGACGCCCGCCATGATGGTTGATGTAACCTATGACCCCTTTTCACTCTCCCTTTTTTCGCGGGAAATTTGGGTCACTGCTGGACAGTGTTTTGAAAAGGAGTTTTGTGGGGAAAATTCGTCAGAAATGATAAAACCTTTTTGTGAAAAATTGGACTCTATTCATAATGATAGAAGTTTGAATTTTTTTCTCAACAACGAGCAATAGACCCCTTCGACTTTCACGGATCGCATAAACTGCTTACGTCACAGGGGGGACATTTCGAAAGAACGTCGTTCTAGAACGCTGAAGTCGAACGGGGCTTGCGCTCGCGGTGTCCCCCCTGGCAGATAATTTTTTTTACTAAAAGGTAGATAAGTGTCTATTTTCTCGGTAATATATGCGGAAATGACAGGAAAACAGGCACCAACTTTGTATGGTGGCATTCCGTACAACAATTTAAGGTTATTTTTGTTCTGTGACGTATGCAGTTTATGCAATCCGTGAAAGGAACTTTCGAAATGTCCCCCCTGTGACGTAATTTCTATTCAAAATGCCCCCCCTGTGACGTAAGCAGTTTATGCCATCCGTGAAAGTCGAATGGGTCTATTTATTTGCATATATCATTGGGAAGTTCTATCGTGACGTCATCAGGGCTCGAACGTGTGTTGGGTGCATGGCGGGCGAGATGGATGTTCACGTCGGAAAAGGAGGTAATATTTCCTTAAATCTACACCAAACCAGTGAGTCTGTAAAAAGATATACAATTGAGTTCAATTGTCCTTTGGTTTTTAACATGAACTGAGAAACAGGTTAGACCAAAACGGCCTCTAAGTGACGGAATATATTTCCGACTGTGGGGAAAAATGTTGCAGACGATTTTTTCCCCGTGCCCCCATGTTTGCCCTTTGG